CCCCCTCCCGCCGCAGCTCTGGGCCTCCAGCCCGAGTGCCTCCCGGCCTCCCGCCCGAGCACCGCGCGGAGGAGCAGAGAGAGAGACGAGCGTGCTGCGGGCGTTGCATGTGGCTCCCGCCCTCACGCTTCGAATCATCGCGGACATAATGATCACCACCCACCAAACCACCCCAACCCAACCCGAAGGCCTCAATTTGCCCTCCATTTCCAGTGGGGGGGGGTCCTGGAACGTTGAAAAAACACATGGTGCCCGTACCCCCCCCAACCCGAAATTCGGGTCAAATTCGGGTCTTCGGGTTGGGTTGGGGTGGTCTGGTAGGTAGTCAAATGACCCCTCCGAGTCTCGTCGTCGAGACGAGCCCGGCCAGCCATCTTCCGAGGGCGATGGCACAAGACGAAAGGCCGAACAATATGAATCGCTGGCGTAACTTCTTCATGGAAGAGCCTTACCCGGAGTAGTTTCTCAATTGTTTGTTTACGAGATTGTCCCGACGCTTCTGGAATATAAAAGAGGCTTACGCCATTCCGCCGACCCCCAGAAGAGGGATGAACTCAACGGGTGAGGCCTTTGGGGACCTCTTGGGGACCCTCCGAGGGCCCCTTAGGGGCCTCTTCAGGCCTATTAAAAGTTTCTCGGGAGCCTGCTGGCGGTCTCGGGGGTCCTCGTCGGGCGGAGGGCTCGGAATGTCAGTTCGAGCTGCCCCTCTTGGGGCCCTGCTAGGGTTCTCTTGGGCCATCTTGGGCGCTCTTGGGACCCATTTCGGCCGTCTTTGGGCCCTCTTGGGGGCTTCTTGGGCAGTCTTGGAGCGATCATTCGGGCTTTGAGCCGTCTTAGGCGCTGTTGAGACCAGAAGTGCATATATATATATATAATATATATATATATATATATATATATACATATATATATATATATATACGTGCATGCGTGTGCAATTGATATGTTTCCCAACGGGATTTGGACCATTCTTGCTTCTTGGGGCCCTCTCGGGAGTCTTCTTGCAGCCCACTTGGGGCTTCTTTGAGGCCTCTTGGGCAGTCTGAGGCTATTCTTGGCAGTCTTCCAGGACCCTGTGCGTGTTGGAACCCGGCTTGCAAAATCGTAGATCTTTGTTAGGCATCGTGGAGGCCGCAGAGTGTAGAAATGGAGGCTCCGGAGGCCCCAGGGGATCGCTGATGAGCTCGAAGACCCTCCCCCCTCCCTCTCGTGGGCCGTATTGGCCAGAGAGGGAGAGGGGGTCACGAACCCAGGGACCCTCCCCCAGGACCCCTCCCCCTGGACCCCCCTGGGATCCCCCCCAGGACTCCCCCAGGCGACCCACCTTGAACCCTTTTCCCCCCCCAGAGGGGGAGGGATCAAACAGAAGGGGCTTCCCTTCGACTCGATTACGGCGTTGTTCGATTTCCGGCTGGCTGGGTCGCTTGAGGAGGAGGGCCTCGGGAAAGGGGGAGAGTGGCGACTGCGACGACGGCGACGAAGACGACGGCGACGGCGACGGCGACTCAAGTGGAAAAGGGAAGCGGCGATGGCGACGACGACGGCTCTAGTGGAAAAACGCTTCACACACACCGATAGGTCGGCGGATTTCGGGAGTGCCACTCTTTCCCAGAACCGATGTTCGTAATTACTGCGGCACAGGGGGGGGCGAGGAGCCACCACTCCCGTCCCGGACCACAAAGCCTATCGGGCTTCATCGCAGATGCGCCGATCATCGTGAGATCTCCTCGATCGTATCGTCCTCACCCACCGCTTCTTCGCAAGCTCGCGCGCGATGCTGGCCGGCCCAGTTTTCCAGAACCCCTACACATGTTCCAGGCTAATTGTCGACGGTTGCTTCAGCGTTTGCTGAATTGGGTTGCTTGGCAGGATCCCAGGTTTCTTGGGCAAACAGTTCGATCACGACAACATGTTGATTCAAAGCTGTCCTTCTCTTATCAAAGTAGGTCGCTCGGGCTGGGCAGATCTATGGGTTGACTAATTTCTGTTCGCAGTGAGTTGTCCACTCCACTGCTCGCGCAAACATCCCACCCACCCACCCGCAAATTGGTTTGCAAAATCTCTTAAGACCGTGACGGTGGGTACCACATGGCACTTGGCAACAACAGCGACGCCGACGACGACAGCGACAACGACGATGACGACGCCGCCGACAACGACTACGACGACACCGACGACGTCTCCAACGACTTCGACGACGCCGACAACGACGACGACGACGACGACGAAGAAACCGACGACGACGACGACACCGACGCAGACGACGACGACGATGACAACGACGACGACGATGACGACGCCGACGACGACGATAACGACGACGCCGACGACGACGACGACGTCAGCGACGCCGACGACGACGACGACGGCGGCGACGACGACGACGCCGACGTCGACGACGACGAAGACGACAACGACGCCGACGCCGACGACGACGACGAAGACGACGACGACGTCGCCAACGAAGACAACGAGGAAGGAGGGAGGACGACGACGGCGACAACGACGACAACGACGAGGGAGGAGGGAGGACGGCGACGACGCGAACGACGAAGAAGGAGGAAGGACGGCGACGCCGACGACGGCAACGACGAGGGAGGAGGGAAGACGACGACGACGACGACAACGACGACGACGACGACGACGACGACGACGACGGCGGCGACGACGGCGACAAAATAGGAGGGACGACGACGAGACGCCGACGACGGACGACGACGACGACGAGGGAGGAGGAGGAAGGACGACCACGGCGACAACGACGACAGAAACGACCACGACGCCAAAGAGGACGACGACGACGAACACGAGGAAAGACAAAGGACGACGTAGGCGACGACGACGACGACGACGACGACAACGACGCGGGAGGAAGGAGGACGGCGACGACGACGACGACGACGCAAGAGCGCGCGCGTGCACGCTTTTGTTGAAAATCCGTGTTGCGAAACCTTGTGTTTTGGCATGATTTTTGGACACACGATTTTGAAATCCTTCCGACACCGGTGGGTTTTGAAGGTTTTCGGCATACGCGCGCGACGACGCGCGCGTCAGCACTTCGTCTCATTTGTTGCAGGGGATTCTCGCGACGGCACACGCGCAAGGGCGTTCGACAGATTTCGACATGAGCGCGCGCAAAGCCCGTTTGGTAGCATTTTATGAAAATCTTGAAAGTCCCAAGAGCTTTCGCGGAAGCTTGTTTAGCAACTCTGTGTTGCGAAACTTTGTGTTTTTGTATTTTTTTGGAAGCTCGATTGCGAAATCCTTCCCGCACCGAAGGTTTTTGAAGGATTTCGGCATGAACGCGCGACGACGCGCGCGTGTGCATTTCGTCTCAGTTTTTTGCAAGGGATTCGTGAACAAGTGTTGTATTAGAACAAAAAGTGTCACCGCATAGTGTTTTTTTACCAGGGAACCTCAGGGGGGAACCCGGTTTGGCTGGGAGGGCATGATTTCATATTTAGGATGGACGAGTGTGCAGCATATATCTATATATATTCATATATACACATATATATATGTATATGTATGTATTATATATACCAAATCATGTTATCCCAGGGGGAGCCGATAAGCCCGGGGGGGGTAGAATTATTAATTTTCTAGCCACTCTGCTGAACTTGAAGTCGTCATCTCCACTGCTCGCGCAAACATCCCACCCACCCACCCGCAACTTGGTTTGCAAAACCTCTTAAGACCGACTACGACGACACCGACGACAACGGCTGCGACGACACCGACGACGTCTCCGACGACTTCGACGACGACAACGACGCCGACGCCGACGACGATGAACACGACGACGACGACGCCAACGAAGGCGACGACGAGGGAGGAGGAAGGACGACGACGGCGACAACTACGACAACGACGACAACGACGAGGGAGAAGGGAGGACGGCGACGACGCGACTACGGAAAAGGAGGAAGGACGGCGACGCCGACGACGACAACGACGAGGGAGGAGGGAAGACGACGACGACAAAGACAATGACGACGACGGCGACGAAATAGGAGGGACGACGACGAGACGCCGACGACGAACGACGACGACGACGACGAGGGAGGAGGAGGAAGGACGACCACGGCGACAACGACGACGGAAACGACCACGACGCCAAAGAGGACGACGACGACGAACACGAGGAAAGACAGAGGACGACGTAGGCGACGACGACGACGCGGGAAGAGGGAGGACGGCGACGACGACGACGACGACGCAAGAGCGCGCGCGCGCACGCTGTTGTTGCAAAGTCCGTGTTGCGAAACCTTGGGTTTTTGTAGTTTTTGTTTGAACACACGATTCCGAAATCCTTCCGGAACCGATGGGTATTGAAGGTTTTCGGCATACGCCCGCGACGACGCGCGCGTCTGCACTTCGTCCCATTTTTTGCTGAGGATTCTCGCGACGGCACACGCGCAAGGGCGTTCGACAGATTTCGACATGAGCGCGCGCGAAGCCCGCTTGGTAGCATTTTGTGAAAATCTTGAAAAACCAATGGTTTTCTTAAGATTTCGCAAGAGCTTTCGCGGAAGCTTGTTTAGCAACTCTGCGTTGCGAAACCCAGTGTTTTGTATGTTTTGTTTGAAGCTCGATTGCGAAATCCTTGCAGCACCGAAGGTTTTTGAAGGATTTCGGCATGCGCGCGCGACGCGCGTGTGATTTCGTCTCATTTGTTGCAAGGGGTTCGCGAATAAGTGTTATGTTAGAACAAAAATGTCACCGCAAAGTGTTTTTTTTTACCAGGGAACCTCAGGGGGGGAACCCGGTTTGGCTGGGATGGTACGATGTCATATTTAGGATGGACGAGTGTGCAGAATACATAAATGTATATATATATATATATATATGAAATCGTATTATCCCAGGTGAGCTGATAAGTCCGCGTGGGGGGGGTCTATTTTCTTTCTAGAAAAGGAGAATAAAGGAGAATAGCGGTACGTTTGCAGGAGCACATCACTTCCCAGATTTCCTTGGACGTTGTCATCGACCTGCGTCTCTTGGCTCGCAGCCCTTTCTGGATCGAGCCCGCACCCGTCGGGGCTGGCCTCCTCAGGCATGGGAGGCGACGGCAAGAGCGGCAAGAAGGGCAAGACCAGCGGCGCGACAAAGGGAGCGGGAGGCGGAGGCGGCAAGGCCGGAGGAGGCGGCAAGGCCAGCGGGGGCGGCAAGGCTGGCGGGGAGGCTCGAGCAAAGGCCGAGGGGGGTAGGCAGAAGCGCACAGGCACAGCCGCACCGTTGGTCCTGGACATGTGGCTTCGGGCTTATGGCCTCAGCGCGCCTTGGGGGCCTCCCGGGGGGGTTCTGAGGGTCTAGGCCTCCTAGATGGGGTCCGAGCAGCTGGGGTCGGAGGATCGCGCCGCATCGCCGATGCATCGGCGATGCATCGGCGATGCGGCTCGATGTGGAGTCCGATGTTCTCCACGCCGATGTCGCCGATGCATCGCCGATGTATCGGCGATGCGGCGAGTTCCTCCGACTCCGTCTAGGAGGCCTCAAGAGGAGCCTCGAGGGCTCTCCAGGGCGACTGTATGTATGTTCATGTGACCTTGAGATGGTGCAGCGACAGCATGATGAAATTGCATGTCGAATCGTACGGGTGTGTATGTGTGTGTGTATGTGTGTGTGTGTTTCCGTGCGTCCTTCTGTCCTCCCTGCCAAGGGCGGCGGAGGAGGCAAGGGCGGAGGGGCCGGACCCAGGGCTGCCCAGAGTGGCAGTGATTCGTGGGCTGGTCAGACAGGCTGGTCAGAGCCTGCCTGGCAGCATGGCGGCGGCTACTGGGGTGGCCAGGGCAGTGGCGGTTCCTGGGGCGGCCAGACCGGTGGCGGCTCTTGGCCCGACGCTGCCCAGACGGCGGCGGATCGCAAGGCGGTGAAGAAGGCGGGGCGCCGCTCGGAGCAGATGGCGAAGCTGGAGGCCAAGGGGGACGCCGAGAGCAGCTACTTCTGGGAGTGCAAGCGCCTGGCGGCCCGGGGCAAGGGCGGGCACGCGCCCAGCGTGGAGGACGCCGCGGAGCTCTTCGCGAAGCAGGGGACCTTCGCCATCGACTTCGCCAAGTACGAGGCCGTCGAGGTGGCGCCCCTGCGTGCCTGCTCCTCACGGACTTCCTCTCCCCCCTCCTCATCCTCTTCCTCCTCCTCCTCCTCCTCCTCCTCCTCCTCCTCGGTCTCGTCCTCATCCTTCTCCTCTTCCTCCTCCTTCCCCTCCTCCTCCTCCTCCTCCTCCTCCTCCTCCTCCTCCTCCTCCTCTTCCTCCTCCTCCTCCTCCTCCTCCTCCTCCTCGCTCCCCTCCTCTCTCGTCATCATTCATTCATCATCATCATCATCATCAATCCATCCTCATCATCATCATCATCATCATCATCATCATCATCATCATCATCAGCATCAGCATCAGCATCAGCATCATCATCATCATCAGCAGCAGCATCATCATCAGCAGCATCATCATTGGCAGCATTAGCATTATCATCATCATCAGCATCATCATCATCATCATCATCATCATCATCATCATATTCCTATTCCT